ATTTTATATAAATGTAATATATAAGGTTTATATATAAAATAAATTCTTACTCTATATATATAAAAAGGTGAGTATTGATTAAAATTATAAAAAATTAAATAAATAAATTCTTTAAAATTATATCATTTTAATAAATATATTATTATTTTAAAAAATTAAAATATTTTAATTTTTTAGTTAAATTCCCCAATCTAATTCTTCAACTATTGCACAAGGCTCAAACTAAGTTCTTAAACTAAAAAAATCTTGATTTAATCTCTAAAATCTTTAAATTTAACCCCAACTTTGTCCCTTCATTTAAATATCAATGACATGTCCTGTTGCTTGGTTGGAGAACGATGCCACATCAACACATTAATACACCTAACTTTGACAGTATGGCAAGAAAAACTTTAAAAAAATTCTATCTTCATTTTCTTTTCTTTTTTTTCTTTTCCTTTCTCTTTCCTCTTCCTCTCCTTCGCCTTTTACCAACCCTAATTTAATTCAGATAATGGTTATACCAAAATCAAACCCATATTTCATTTAAATCTATAACATAAGAACAAGGATATGGAAACTCACTATTTGGCTAAATCAAAGCCAATTTTTCCTTCCACTTTAACCACCCTTTCTCAACCACCAAACATAACAAAAAAGAAAATAACCAAAAACTCTAGCCAAAATTGAAACCCACACCAAAGATTAAAAGGAAATTCCCAAAATGGGGTTGCGTTTGGTATTTCCAGATTTGGTCTTTTGTTTTATTTGTACAAAGCTTCATTTGACAGTGTTATGCTAGGCTATGCTATAGCAATAAGTATTTTTGGTCTTTTAGTATCCTAAAAAATATGTATATACAACATTAATTAAAATTAATAATAATAGAGAATTAATTAAAAATTAAAAATTTACATTTTAAAATAAGGTGCTATGTAAAAAAACGTATCTAAATAGTACCGACAAATGAAAACGAAAAGTTAGTATATACTCTTTAATAATTTCGATGGATGTTTCATACAGATGCGCTTGTCACATGTTGACATTTGAATGCATTTCCTTTGCAGATGACTCTAGAAGAAGCCATTGGATGCGTCGCCTCTGATGAGCTTTATAGAGGTAAAGATTACTTGGATTTTGATTTTAATTTTCAAGGATACATTTACATGCAAATCAAAATTTAATATTTTAATAAAGTATTCTAATTCTCATACTTTAAAGCATGAAGAATGCATGCATTGTTTGCACCTTATTCAATCCGCTGCATTGCTTTTGGATTCTAATTTTAATCTGATATACTTATGTAACAATTTGATTCATAATTATACAGGTTACAACGAAGGCCATTCGATTAAGGAAGAGATATTTGGATGTTAACAAGCGTAAAAGCATGAGCAAAAAGCCAAAAGTTTGCAAAAAGGAGAAGGATACTATTTTGAAAAATAATTGGTACACCTTCTGGTTCGACACACTTAACAACACCTATAAGTTCAGTAATTAAAATTTGTTTTTGAAAATTTTCTCGCTTTAAATTCAAATTTGAAAATATTAATTACTTAATTATTGAACCATTATGTGATGTTAGGTGGGTTGAATCAGAAAATATACCAATAATTTTTCTATCATTTTTGTCACTGAAAATTGTTGTATTATTCGCAGAATTTGACTAACTGTAAGGGTTACCATTACAAAAAAGGTTATTGTTTTCGATCGATAGGTTGAATTTTATTCTTTTTTTTTTTTTTAAATAAAGGGCAAGGGAAGTTGATATTGCTTCAAATAGATAAAAAAGAAAGCAAAAAATGTATTTGTAATGCCGCTTACGTGCAAATTTAAAAGGCTATGAGAGCATGTATATTAGTCTTGTCTTATAAAAAAAATTTTCAAAATAATGTGATAGTTCATTTTTAGCTCATTTTCAACCTCTCTTGTAGTAGGCAAAATACCCAAATCCGCCCCTCAACTATAGGGGCAGGGACGGATCCACATCCGAACAAAAAACAGGGACAAATCCACCCACAAAGTTTTCGACTTAGACAAATAACCCATTATTTGACGTG